AAAAAAAAAATTATTTATATTTAAAGTTTTGTTTTTACAAAAAATAATAATAATAATAAAAAGGAAACTAAAAAATAATAATAATAATTTTTTCAATCCCTGTGGACAGAAGACAGGAAGGGGAAGAGGAAAAGGAGGAAATAAATATTCCAACTTTGTTTTTATTTTTTTTTTTTAGCTCTCTCTCTCTCTCTCTCTTTTTTCCTTTTATCTAAATTAGTTCTTGAGATTTTTATTACTTCCTTTTATTAGTATCATCATCATCATCGTTTAGGTTTTTAAAAAAAATAATTTTTTTGTTTTGATTTTCTCTCTTCTTTTGATTTTTATTTATTTATTTATTTATTACTTCCATTTTAATTATATCGTACATGGCTTAATGTAAATATTTGTCGTCTGCTATCGTACGCATTTCTCAAAAAAAAAAAAAAAAAAAAAAAAAAAAAACAAACAGGCACAAACGCAATCGTTTAATCGAAAATCATTTTAAAATTTGCAAAAAAAAAAAAAATTTTTAAATGTAACTTTGGGATAAACTTAAAAAAAATGGAAGACATTATTGGAAATACATTAAAATATCGATTATCGATCGATTAATTATTATTATTATTATTAATATTAATATTTAAAAAGAAGTAAATAAAACTCGTTAATACTTTTTTTTTATTATCATTATTATTACTACATGTTACATACGTATATAATCATAAATTTATAAAATGTAAAATTTCTTACAGAATGATCCTTTTAAAAGTTTTTTAATAATGATAATGATAATAATAATGATGATGATGATGATGAAAAAAGTTTTATGTAAAAAAAAAATTTTTTTTTTTTACGTGTAATAAGAAAATTGTTTAAAATAAAAATTGTAAAGTGGAAGTTATTATGAAAAAAAGTATTAAGAAAGAAAAAAATGAGATGGGGGTAGAGAGGGGGTGGTGGTGGTGTTGAGGGGGATTCAAATCCCAAAATGGCTCCATCGGGTTATCGTCACAAGTCAAAAAAAAAAACTTTTTAAACTCCAATTTAAAAAAAAAAAAAAAAAACTTTTTAACAAACAATGATATAAAACTATTTTTTTTTTTTTTTTTTCGTCTATCGTTTGGGATCATTTATTTTTTTTTCTTTTTTTTCATCCACGAATCAATTTCCTTCCCCGTTATTTTTTTTTTTTTTTTATAGAATTTTCTCCCCCCAAATTTTCCAAAAAAAAAAAAAAAAAAGAAAAAAACATTTTTTATTTCGAAAAAAAAAATTTTTTATCGTTATCGTCATCATTTTTATCATTATTATCGTTAGCGTCATCATCATCATCATCATTATTATCCCATACGAAAAATATTATACGAAAGCGTAAAAAATAAAATAAATTCCAAAAAAAAAAAAAAAATTATTTTATCGGAAATGGCAAATCGAAAACCATAAATGAAAATAATTGAAAAAAAAAAAAAAAATTTTTTTCTACGGCCACGTCAGCAAAAGGAAAATTTATAAAAAAAAAAAAAAAAAAGTGGAAAAAAGCAACAGATTTAAAAAAAAAAATTTCTCCCCACCCCCCCCATTCCCGTTTTTATTCTCTTACGTCGTGTACGACAGGAGCTTTAGGATTTTTTATTATTAAAAAGAACAAAAACAAACAACAGCAACAACAACAACAGGAAAATCTACAGCGTTTTTTAATAAAATATTTAATTTTAAAAAATTTTCCTTTTTTTTTTTTTATTGTAATCGTAAAAAACGGAAATGAGAAACGACAAAGTAATAAAATAATTTTCCGATTAATAGAAAATTTTTTTTTGTTGTCTTATCAAAACCTTATCACAAACCTTATTTTTCATTTTCAGGTATTGAAATAACAATTTGCCACAAAAAAAAAAAAAAATTTTTTTTTTAAATTTTTAAAATATTAAAAAAATTTCTTTTTTTTTTGTTGCGGGGTGGAGGGAGGAGGATTTACGACAACCGGAAATGAAAAAATTAAAAAACGAATTTTCCTTTCTTCTATAAGAAAACTAAAAAAACAAAAAATTTCCACGGATTTCGTGCAAACAACCGCAAAAAAAAAGGGATTTAAAAAGTTTTTTTTTGCATCATACGTTTAAGAAATGGAAGCCAAGATGGGGGAGGAAGGGGGTGGTGGTGGTGAAGGTGAATCGAAGGGGTAAAAAGGAAGGGAAGGGTTTTTAGGCCTTATTACGTGAATAAAAATTTTTTTATTTATAAAATAAATCGATACGTCGTGATTTTGTCGTGACGTCAAAAAAATTATTTATTATCACTCGTTTTGCGGATTCGTTTTTTTTTTTAACCGGAAATGAATTTTTTTTTTGTATTTTCCTACATTAAAAAAAAGGAGTAACGTGGTTATAGAATAATAAAAAAAAAAGAAATTTTATCTCTTTTATGAAACATTGATAAGAATATATATATGTAACTGATAACGATGAGAAAGAGTGAGAGAGAGAGAAAATAAATTAAAATTATTATTATTATTTTAAGAAAAAATCATTCATCCATTCATTCATCCATTCATTCAATTCATTCGTAAAAAGAAAAAAAAAAATAATGATAATAAAAAAAAGAAAAAAAAAAAAACTTACATATGTTTTCGTCATACTAATTTTTTAATTTCCATCCTATTGAATAAAAATTTTTCTCTTTATTAAATCAAATAAATATTATTATTATTATTACTACGAATACTGTTTGTTATTTTTGCTGTCGTTAATTATTAAAATTTGCGACAGAATTTACGTGTGTTTTTTTTTTTTTATTTAAATTAAATTTTCAGTTTATTCATTTGATTCATTTTGAACGTGCACTTTGGTTATTATTATTATTATTTACGTTTCCTGTCGTCGAACAAAAACAAAAATTATTATTATTATTTGCAAAAAAAGAAAAACTTTTTCGCACTAGAAAAAAAAATCCGCAAATTATTTTAATTTTATAAATTAATCAAATTCGATATTTTATCGATTAGGTTTTAAACTTCGTCACACAAAAAAAAATTTTATTTTTTTTTTTATTTACTCGTCGTCGTACATTTTATACACACGCACAGGTACGCACATTTGTAATTTTTTTTTAAATGTGTAAGAGAGAGAAAAAAAAAAAATTGAAAAATAGAGAAAATTAAAATGTTGATAATATTATTATTATTATTATTATTAAATAACACCCGCTCTCGCTCAAGCTTGGGAGCGAGTGAAGGCTGCGCCGTAATGTTAAACAAAAATATCTCGAGCGCAACTTTTTTTTTTTTTTTTTTTTTTGTTGTCGTTTCTCTTCTTCCTTTTCCCAACAACCAGCCATTTTTAATTTTCACGACGTTTAAATAACTTTTTTTTTTAAATATTATTATTATTAATTTTTTCGACAAAAAAAAAAAAACGTTAATTTTTAAAATAAAAAAATTTTTTATTTTTAGTCTTCCCTATATCCTATTATAAGTCATTGATTTTAAGAAAAACAAAAAAATTTACGTGACGTCATAGTTTTGCATTTCCGGTTTTATTTAAACTCTTTTTTTTTTTTTTTTACAAGCGTTTTAACTTTTAAATAAATAAATAAAATAAAAATAAAAATAATAAATTAATTCGTTTTTGTTGGAAATGAATAAATGTCTGGAATAATAAAATCGACTGGAGAATAGAAAATGAATTTTAAATAATTTTTTTTTTTTGCTACGGTTCATGCATACCCTTAGGAAAAATTTATTTAAACAATATTTATTTAATTTACACGAGATTTTTGTGTCAGACAGCAAATTTTATCAATAAAATTTTTAAATACACTTTGAGGTTCTCCATTTGAAAGGATTCAATGTTTATTTTAATGGTTTTCAAAAAATTTGTTTTTTTGACCTTTATCAAGAAAAACCTTAAAGTCGAAGGAGGAGTTTCGTGGGGGGAAGGGAAAAAAACTATCTAAACAATATTTATTTTTAAGAATGAATCAGCTGTGTTTAAGAATTGGTGTTAAAAGGTTGTGAAAGAATCTAATGGAAGAACAAGGGCTCAAATAACAGTTCCTCTCTCTCTCTCTCCTTCCCTTTTAATGACAATCTCATGCGACGGCGCCCAAAATGAGTTAAAGAGAGAGAGAGAGAGACAGAGAGGGGGATCTAGGACCAGAAAAAGGGCCATTATATTGATCCCATAACGGAAACATTTGGTCAAAACGGATGTTACGTCATAATGAATATATAAATACATATTTATATATATATATATATATATATATATATTGTTTTTTTCTCCCATTTCGAGAGATTCGAGAGGAATGAATAATTAATTAATTTTTTTTTATAAAATTATAAAATCTATAAATTAGTTATGGAAATTTGTTTTTTTTTTTTGTTTCACCCAGAATTATTTACTTATTTTTATAATAATTAATTGAATTTAAAATAATTTTTATATAGAAAAAGAAAAAATTTATAAGTATATATCAATTTTGGGGAAAATTTAAATCATTAAAAAAAAAAAACGTTAAATGATTTTCGATGACGGTTTAAATTTGCTTTAAACGATACAAAAACGGTTGAGAAATAGTTTTGAAAAAATATTTCTATTAAAAATGTCTCTGATAATAAAATTTTGTATTAATTTTTTAAATATAATTATTACTTACAGTTTTAATAAATTTTTTTTAATTAAATAAAAACCCTTTCACTCTTTAATGGTATTCACTTTATAAAACGAATAGAACGTTTAATAATGGCGGGAAATCTTTAACCGTAGCAAATAAATATTTTAACTCTATGATTGTTTTCCGTAATTTTTTATTTTTAAAGTATATTTTTATTAAAATTAATTTAAAAAACTTTTAATCGACTGTTTAAAATGTTTTTTGAAAACTGAAATAATTAATAAATGATTGCATATTACTTTTGTTAAAAGCAAATAATTTCTTACAAATTTGCTCTTATTCAATGATATACAATATTGATTTGTAAACATTCATTTGACGGTGTTAGGTTATGTTAAACTAAAATGTCTTTAGCCGACGAACTTTTAGCCGATTTAGAGGGTGAAGATGATGCTGATTTTTATACCGAAACAAATGGCCACATTGAAAAACATTTGGATGCCCAAAGAAATTTGGAAATCCCTATGGATGAAGGTAAATTTGTGTGTAGTTAAAATTTGTATTGACTTTCATTAAAAATTGTTTACTAATTTATGTAAATTAACATATTTGTAGATATTAAAATTACCTCTATTAGGCAATTGGCCAGTTTGAGAGATTCCGATCATTTGCAAAAAATTATGGAAGAAATTGATAATTATAGTAAAAAAATAAGAAGGCCGTCAGATATAATAGGACCAGTAGAATCAGATCCTGAATATCAACTTATTGTAGAAGCTAATAATTTGGCTGTAGAAATAGATAATGAAATAGGTAATATTACATATTTTAAAAAAAATTTTTGTTTTCTGTTTAAATATTAATTAAATTTTTTTTTTAAAGCAACAATACACAGGTTTACTAGAGATAAATACTCGAAAAGATTTCCCGAACTTGAGTCACTGGTGGTAGGGCCTCTTGAATATGTCAGAACAGTCAAAGAATTAGGAAATGACTTAGAAAAAGCCAAAAATAATGAAGTGCTGCAACAATTTTTAACTCAAGCAACTATAATGGTTGTTTCTGTTACTGCATCAACTACTCAAGGCACCCAATTAACAGAACCAGAGAGAGAAGAAATAGTTGAAGCATGTGACATGGCAATCGAGTTAAATAATTTTAAACAAAGAATTTATGAATATGTTGAAAGTAGAATGGCATTCATTGCTCCAAATGTTTCAATGATTGTTGGAGCTTCATGTGCTGCTAAAATTATGGGAGTTGCTGGAGGACTTACCAAACTTTCTAAAATGCCAGCTTGCAATGTTCTCCTTTTGGGGTCACAGAAAAAAATGCTGTCTGGTTTTTCTCAAGCTGCTTCTTTACCTCACACAGGCTTTATTTATCATTCAGACATTGTTCAAGACACTCCTCCAGATTTTAGAAGGAAGGCAGCCAGATTGGTAGGATCTAAATGTATTTTAGCTGCAAGAGTGGATGCTTGTCATGAAAGTACAGATGGCAGTGTTGGTCAAATGTTTCGTGAAAGCATTGAAAAAAAATTGGATAAATTAACAGAACCGCCTCCAGTAAAATTTGCCAAACCATTACCTAAACCTGTAGATCAACCCAAGAAAAAAAGAGGGGGTAAACATGTTAGAAAAATGAAAGAAAGATATGCTATGACTGAATTAAGAAAACAAGCCAACAGAATGAATTTTGCCGATATCGAGGATGATGCTTACCAAGAAGATTTAGGTTACACTAGAGGAACCATAGGAAAAACCGGTACCGGAAGAATCAGGCTCCCGCAAATTGATGAAAAAACTAAAGTGAGAATATCGAAAACATTACAAAAAAATTTACAAAAACAACAACAGTGGGGAGGAAGTACAAGCGTCAAAAAACAAGTTTCTGGAACTGCTTCAAGTGTTGCATTTACACCACTTCAAGGTCTTGAGATTGTTAATCCGCATGCAGCTGAAAAAATAGTCAATGAAGCAAATGCTAAATATTTTTCAAACACATCTAGTTTTATAAAAGTACAAAGAAAATAAAATGTTTGTAAATTTGATTTATAAACAAACATTCTAAAAAAAAAAAATTCAAGTATAAAATTATTTTTTTAAGAAATTAAAAAAATTTTATTCTCTAATAAAAGTATGATTGTACGAACACATGTCATCGGTTAAAGGACATTTATCCGGATGATTATTGTAAAACCAACATTTTCTATTTTTCCATTTAGAACTATTATCACTTTTTAATAAATTATTACTAATATCTAACATACTTTCGGGACTTCTAAACTGTACAAAACCTTTTTTCACTTCAAAAATATAATGATGATTTTTTAATAACGTTTGTAATCCTTTGCATTCTTTTTTAAGTTCTTGAAGTAAGTCTTTGTTAATTTTATTTGCCAACGATTCAACGCTCAATGTTCCTCCTCGATTCCAATGAGAAGAGGATCCGTCGTTTTTAATCTCATATAAATTACGTTTTTCATTAAGTAATTCATTCATTACTGCTTTTAATATTTGATCTATAACAGTGTGAGGCAATTTTGTACAGTTTCTTACTTGTTCCACTGAATCCCTTATTTTTACGTTTCCATCCGGTGTATTTCCACCTGAAACATGAATTTTTTATGTGTTTGAAATCGTACTGAAAAAAAGATAAAAAAAAATTTGTAAATTACTTTTTAAATACCTTTTAAATTTTTAACATAATTTTTTTGTACATCTACATCAGATTGACAGTTAAATTTAATATAATTTATAATTTTACTATTTGATTGCGTTACATGATTTTTTTCAAAATTTCCTTTTCTAAATCCGACCAAACACACCTTTTTAGATGATGGAATTCTTAATCTATCGACTAAAGTATTAAAATCACACATTTCGCTTATATTTTTCACATAATATATAAAATCTTGGTAACTACTCATGCTGCTATTTTTTCTTTGAAATTTTTGTCCATTTAATTCGTAGGGACAACAAGGCAAGACAAAATATTGACAGTGATCATTACTGAATTTAGCCATGATCGGAATCCACGAAGTTAATTCATCTGAATGGTTTCCGATTATCCAATCGGCCTCTGGATAAATTGTGTCAACAGATGGGATAATAATTTCTTCCTTAAAAAAAAATTGATTAAACATATTTTCTCTTCTTTAGTAAATAATTTAACTTATAAGAAAAAAATACTTTACTTTTAAAATTGTGTCTGAATTATATGAATCCCATATTTTTCTTTTTCGTAAATCTATTCCAACTCCTAAATGACCTTCAGAATTTAAAATATATACCAGCAGACCATTCCCACATCCTAAATCGACAAACTTTTGTTTTTTTTCTTTTCCCGCAGGTAAATTATCACTGTTCCATAATAACATAAGGTATGAAGCAATTCCTATATCTTCATACACAAATTTTTTAGGATCTGTATTTTCAGTCCAATTCTAATTTACAAAAAAAAAAAAGTATAAAATAACTTTAAAAATATAATTTTATTATTAAGTATTAAAAAATAAAAAACAATAATAATAACCTCAATTAAAAATTTTGCATATTTCAATTTCATTTTTTCATAAAGTTCATAATATCTAACGATATCGACTAAATTAGTAAATGAAAAATTTTTTTTTTTCAAATCCCCATTTTTAATTGTTTTTAAATTTGAAGAATTTAACATAATGTTAATAATTTTTGGAAATAAAATAACTTTAATCCAATTGATTCCTTTTTCATTTAAATTATTATCATCTACAATAAATTTTAAAGTTTTTGATGTTTTAACTAATTCAATATAATTATATTTTAAAATTTGAAGAGGATCTGTTTGCATGACAATTGTAGTATTGTCTTCAATGTCATTTATAAAATGTTTTGTTTTTATAACTAACCTGGCATTTATTTTATCTGAAATGAAAATAATAACAGTAACTTAAAACATGCTTTATAAATTTATTGTACACTTTTATTAAACTACTCGACTAAATAAATACAAACCCAAAAGCCAAATTTCAATTAATTCCATATTGTTAATGATTTTTTTCGGTATGAGTTTTCTTATTAGTAAAAATACATCATTTCCATAATCAAATATCGATTCTAAATTTTCAATTTCTTTAATATTTGTAAAAAACGTCCTAATAACATTTGATATTCCAATATCTTTCAAATTGAAATTTAAATTTTCAGTAATTTTACATAAGGCACTATTAATAATTTCATCATGACCGTTTTCACCTTTAGAAAACGATGATTCGATTTTCCCACCGTAAATATGTTGAGATAAAACTACTTGTTTATTAGCACAATTTGGATGTTCATAATAAACTTTGACAGCAGTTAAAAAATTATCAACAGATCCTTCAACGACTTTTTCCATTTTTTTTTTAAGTAATAATTTATTCAATTAAATACTCATTTAAAAAATTTCAACAGTTAAATAAATACCCCTTTCTTAATTAATTATTTATAATCAATTTTCATTAGAGGTTTAATTAATAAAAATTAAAAACTACTACTACTACTACTACTACTCCATAATAATCATCATAGTCAGGCATACATTAATAAAGGGGAGAGAAAAATTCAAAGGGCAACAAGACGAATTTAAACGTCATTAAAAAATTTGCAAATTTTGCGTTAATTTATTTAATAATTTGTATTTGTTTTTTAGAAAGAAAAAAAAAGTGTTCGATACAGTTTTATTCGTTTAATTAATAAATTTTGTTATAAAAAAAATAAAATCCGGGGTGAATTTAATCACGATGCAATAATAAAATTATTATTTAAAAAAGTATTATAAGTTATTAACGTGTAATGAATCGGAAATAATTCGATTATTATTTAAAACAAGTGGCAGGTTCTGTAACATAACAGGTACAACGTTTGCAAGGTATTTATAATTTTTTTTTTTTTAGTCATAAATCAAATAAAAACTAGATTTCGTATTTATTTATCTTTGTAATGGGTAACATCTTAGTTTTCTCCGACAAGTTTTTTTTTTTTTTTTTTTTCTTAATACCTTATTACAAGAAAATCTTTATTTAAAAAAAAAAAAAAAAACACATACGAATTTAAGATGATGTTCGATGAAACGGTTTTATTTAAGAAATAATAGAGAACTAAGTTAAAGGCAAAGAAAACTAATATTATTACTTACCCAATATATGCGTGTGTGTTTGTTTGTTTGTTTGTTTGTATGTGTGTGAGCGTGAGTGTGTGTTTGTTATTTTTTTTTTTTATTTTATTTTCGTCGAGAATTTTTTTTATAAAATAATTTTGAAAAAGTTTTTACAGTCGTTTTTTTAAGTGCGGCATGTGCAGGAGTGAATACCAAAAAAAAAAAAAAAACGATTCGAGTTTAATTTTATTTTAAAAGTTCGTTGAACAGTTTTTGTTTCTTTTTTTTTCCTTAAAAATAATTTTTTGTGATTTTTTTTTTTTTAAACTAATAATAATAATGATAATAAAGGTTGGTTTTTTTTTTCATCGTAAATTTTTTCAAGTGTTATTAAGTTTTATTTTAAAAAAATTAAAGTTTAAAAGAGATTTCACGAGAATGATTTTTTTTTTTTTTTTTTAGTTGTTATTTACGTCATTTGTTAATAATAATCAATTTTATTTATTTATTTATTTGCTTGTCATTTGTTAAATAATTTTTACAAAGCGTAAAGTCACGGGTTCAATTAAATAAAAATTAATTAAACGTTTATGAAAAATTTTTTTTTTTTTTTTTATTCACTTGCTATTTTAAAGTTTTTTATGTTCTTATCATTCTTATTATTATTATTATCGATTAATTCCCAATTAAATTTTGCTGAAAAAAATCAAAACAAAACAAGTTTTATTTTATAAAAAAAAATTTTAATTGAATCAATTAATTAATTGTTTTTTTTCAACACTTAAATGAATTTTTTAAGATGGAGAAAATACAAAATTATTTATTTATTCATATATTTTCCTTAAATTATTATTATCATTATTATTATTATTATTATTAATATTAGTTTTACAGAGTTCTGTAGTGTTAAAATTTGCTTTTTACCGGTTCAAACGTGTTTTATCAGAAAACAATTTTGAAAAAATTATGTATTTTAACATGAAAACTTATTAATTTTACTCGTCGAACTTATTTCAATCCGTGTAGTTTGTTGTTGTTCTTGTTGTTTGTTGTTCTGGAAAAAAAAAAAAAAAAATTGTTTTTTCCTTTTTTTTTCGTTTCGTTTTTCTCTTTCTCTCTTCCTTCTTTTTCTCTTAAATCAAACGAAAAAAAAAAAAAGAAAAAAAAAATTTAAATGGCGACTCATAAAGATTTCGAAAGAGATTTTTCAGCTCTTTGTCAAGATTGTTACGAATGTTGGACGAAAGAAGGTGAGTATTATCATTATTATTTTTTATTAATTTATCACCGCACACCTAAACTCGCGTTTATATATATATATATAATAATTATGTCATTAAGATAATTTTCATTAACGCCCTAAAAAAAAAAAAAAATACGAAATTACTCTTTGGTAATGTTTTTTATTTTATTTCTTTTTATTTCATATAAAGTTTAAAAGCCCCTCCCTCGCTCCCTCCACTCACTCTCCCTAAATATAAATAAAATCATTCGTTTAGTGCTGACGGTAATAAATAATAATAATAATAATAATTTTTTAAAACTCGTTATGCAAAAAAAAAAATTTCAATTGTGTGAAATGTTCACGTAATGAACGATCAATTGATCAACAAATGAAATGCGAAATTTATTTTTTCTTTTAAATTGTAATAATAATAATAATAATAATGGGATAAATCACGCGCACTCACACACTCGTAACAATTATAAATAATTAACATAATCCACGTGTGTGTGTGTGTGTGGGGGGGGAAAAAAAAAATTTGAATTTGAATTTTTATTTCCTCTTAAAAAAAAAAAAAAAACGTTCGTGTGAAAAATTTACAAAAACGTTTTAGTATTATTATTATTATTATTAATAATGGCGTACGACACTTGGCAAAGCGTAAAATAATAATAAAATTAATTTATGGAAAAGAAAAATTAAAAAAATTATCGTTCGTCCATTTTTATAAAGAATTAATAATAGTAGTGAAAGTGAATTTGCCACCATTATTTAAAAGAAAAAAATTTTTTTTAGTTTTCGGGTTTCCTGTAATTTGGATTTTTTTTTTTTTATTTTAATTGATTGAATCCGCCGTGCACGTGCAGAGTCGCTGGTGGGGGGGAGGGGAAATTTTTACCGGATTTTATACAAAAAAAAACTCGTTGGGATTTTTTTTTTTTTTTCGTAAGAAAAGTAGAGTAAATCGAATAGGATTAGAGAAGAACGAAAGTTTATTTAATAAAAATGTTCTAGAACGTCCTAATTAAATAAGAACCAAAAGGGAATTTTCCATTTTGATATTATTCGATTTGCAAAAAAAAAAAAAAGGAAAAAAATTTATTCCTATTGTTTTGTTCGTTCCTCCCACGTGTGACTTTGATTGTCGTCCCGGAAATCATAAAATCCTTGACTTATAGGATGTTCCTTCTGTCTCTTAAGAGTAGTAGGATGATAGTGAGAGAAAAACGCACGCGTAACGTTTCGATTACGTATTAGAGCCCGAAAAAAAAATTTTGGGAAAAATCGTAATGTGACCTACCTGCCATTAGGGCCTCGCAAGTGAATAAAATCAGGGAAGGAATAAGGAAACTTGAGGGGAAGGGGGGAAGTTGAAATTTTTAACATGACACTCAAGTAGTCGGTCAGACGGTTGCGCCATTATTTTCAATTCGACACGGAATTTCTTTTTGTTTCTCTCGTAATAATAAATTAAAAATCTTTCGAAGAATTTATTTATTTATTTATTTTCACTCTTGGTCGTTTCTCGTCGAAAAAGAAAAAAAAAAAAGTTTTTTACCGTAATTCATTTTGCACGGCGAGTTACAATAAATTGATGTTTTACATCCCCTTTTCCCCCCGTGCCCCCCGTTCGAATTCGTTTTTAATGAGTTGTACTTTAAAGCATTATCATGACGATGGTAATTATTTAATAAGAGATTTAATGTAACAGACGCGATCGTAATTAATATTAAAGCATACAATAAAAACGGACGTGGCAATAGAATCTGTTTTTTTTTTTGTTCCGGTTTAACGAATATTTTTATTATTTATTTTTTTTTTAACGGTTAAAAACGATAAACGTGAGGCGGCGTACAAATGAAAAACAAGAATTATTATTTAAAAAAAAAAAATATGGACGCCGTGATAATGATGATGATGATTTTGCGTGAATTAGGCGTCGTCGATTACTTAAGATATCTCATCGATTTGTGAAATGGCAACGAGTGTTTTATTCGCAATCGATAAAATCGTGTAATAATTATAATTTGTTAAGGTCATAGGTCATTCATTCTAAGACATTTTTCCCCTTCTTATCATATCATTCGCGTTTGTACTACAAACGAAACCTTAAAAAAAAAATTTCTGGTAACTTATTTACCCCAGACTGTTCGCATTAACCACACCTTTAAATCCGCCGTACAACCCGCGCCATTTTGTTTAGTAAAATAACTTTTAGAAAATGTAATAAATCCTTGAACGATATCATTCTAATAATAATAATAATGATTATTAATATTTTTATATAATTTTGAATTTTATTGTAAAAAAAAAAAAAAAACGTAAAAAAAAAGGATGGGCCGAAATGATTTAGTCTTGATTACGCCTACTTTATTTATTTATTTATTTATTAATAAGCTTATGTAATTGATTTTTAATAGAATTATTAAATTCGAGAAGAGAGTGCGCGTTCACGCACGCGTTTTTTTTTTTTTGCTACTAAAATATTTTAAAAAAATGCGTAATAGCGAAAGAGAAAAATGGTGGCAAAAAAAATTTTTATTATTATTATTTTTTTTTTGACGTGGATTACGTCGTCGTGGAGAGAGAGGAGAGGAGAGAGAGAGAGAGAGAGAGAGAGAGAGAGAGAGAGAAAGGCGCGTTTATTAAACGGTAATAAAAATTAACTTGAAATAATGAT